GGCAGTGATGTGTTTACACAAATTCATCGTTGTCGTCGATAGTATTAACTATAGTATTTACTTGATGACACGTGTAAAACGAATTCACCAGCTACCATAAAACAGGAGTGATGCATTCTCTTTCGTTCCATACTTGTTATAACGTAAATACTATAGTTAATACTATCGACGACACCGATGAATTTGTGTAAACACATCACTGCCGACGACAGAGTATCGTTGGGAAGAAACCACTTTAGATATTCAATAAATTTTCTCTATGACAAACAATGGCAACATTCGCATGTTCAGGTTGGAAAAAACCAGAGCAATAAAAACTGCAGCGAACAAGACTTATTTAAAAAGCGATACAATAGTGACAAAAGGCACTCAATCAATTGCAACAATCACGAAGAATTAATTCACAGTTGATCACCAAGTCAGTAATTGAATGCTAAACCAGCGAATTCTTGATACTGGGACTTTAAGTAGTTCTAGTTCGAAAGAGACAGTTCACAGTTCCCCTGATCTGTCTGACCATGTCGAGCTCTCAGGAACTCATCTGGTCGGATGTGTCGGGTTTTGGTCAGTAAAGACCACTCGGACGTAGTTATACCCTCTAGGTTTCTTTATGCAATATTCAAAGATAATTAGATACAGCTCGTTAAACTCTACAAGAATTCGTGCTTTGCATTGAAAAAAAACGTTCTATAAGGAAAAATTTGGGAAATTTGTGCTTTTTCATTTTTTAGGAAGCTGTTATTATTTTTCGTACTTCTTTTTGTTGAAGAGTTCAAAAATATTTTGTGAATCCAGCATGTATCACTGATTCTAGAAACGAGAATTGATAGCGTTCAGATACGGTACGATCAGATAATTCTAAAACTCAGTATAATTTTTGGAAATTCAAATAAACAACATGAGAAAGTGAACTATTTTTTCGGAAAATTAAAATCACTTTTTCAAGTTGCTTATTTGAATTTCCAAAGATCATACTCGTTTTGCTAAAAAATGAATTTTCGCAGTGGAAGAATCACTAAATCAGAGCCTATTTTCAATATTTAATTACTGAAGCCATTGTGGTTGAAATTATTGAGTTTGTCACAAATAGAAAAGCAAACTAAAATAAAAAATTAATGTAGGATTTTTTCTGGACTTACGATGTGTAAAATAAAATAAAATCATCCGTTAAGTATCTAAGCTAGTGAGACTTAAAGCGACTGGAACAGACTCAACATGATTTTTCAAAGATTCACCTTAGATTTTAGAATTATCTGACCATATCGTATCTGAACGCTATCAATTCTCGTTTCAAGAATCAGTGATATATGATGGATTCACAAAATATTTTTGAACTCTTCAACATAAAAGAAGTACGAAAAACAATAGTAGCTTGAACAAAAAATAAAAAAACACGACTTTTTCAATTTTTCCCTACAAAACGTTTTTTTTTGAACAAATGTACGGATTCTTGTTGAGTCTAACAAGCTCTATCTAATCATTTATGAATATTGCAAAAATAATGTTTGTTCAGCTTGCAGTGCGTATCTAATACTACTAGGTAGTTAGGTGGAAACATCGTTCCAGATTTTGGTATATAAGATAAAGGGTTGGCTCAATAGAAAGATAGTTGAAGGGATATACAGGTGAATATATAGGCAGTTAGAGAATTAATCAGACATATAGCTCAGCATGCAACCATTAGAGGCAGCTCGTTGAAAAGTTAGGTGTAGTGAAGAGAAAGAGATTATACTAAACTGTCTATCCACACGAGTTCAAAAGGATTTCAGAAATGTACTTACGACCATAATGTTTTTATATTTCCTACTTTAAAAGTGTATAAGAAGTATCACAAAACGATAGAAACTAAAATTTATTCTCTAAAGCTCTAGATAATGTCATCTCATCGGTCTCGCTCTCATACAATAACAACAGAACAAGCGCGAGCACGATGTCGTTCACTCGTACTGAAATTAACGGTACCACCGAAGAATTCAGCAGAAAATGAACCACAACGCATGCTTAATGATTTACAAAAACGTGTTAATAATAGATTCAACATCCTTGTAAAAAAATTTGTAATTGATGAAGAGGAACAAATTAATGATGCAGTATTGGAGAAGCTAAAAAAAGTAAAAGATCCAGATACGTTTCTGGAAGCACTCTTAACACATCTATACGGTAAAGCAGTTAAAGAAGAAGAAGATGTGGTCTCTCCTAATGTTAATGACGAAGAGAAACACGAAATTAATGCTATGGTTGAAGAAGTATGCGCAAGGGGGAAAAACCAATGAACTAATAAATAGGATTTGATTATATATCTTCCCATTTATTTTCTCCTGTTTTCTTCTCTATCCTTCTGATGTATTTTAAAAGGATTACGAAATTTTTATTCACATTCATTATTTAATAAATAAGAAAATGAAAAAGAAAAAGTTGAAAATAAGAAGTCACCGCGTTGCAAGACTGTTACTCATCAACGGCGTCAACAAATTTTTCTGATATTTTTAACTCATTATTGAATATATGAAAGAACAGCGAAGTTGATTTTGCAGTTCGTCTGCAAAGATCAAGTTCGTGTGTTCGATCCTAGCTTCGTGCAAGGATTGATTTTGTGTTTTGATAGTTTAAGTTTCAGAATGATATAATGGGAATTTATATTCTCGATTTCGTT